CTCTCCTAGCATCCAAAGAAGTCATTTGGCCAATAAGCTGATAGAAAGTGTGGTCTGCTGCTTCATGGATTTGTGATTTTGTATTATGTAGGGTGTTTTAAACCAGATTTTAAACCTCCATGAAAGTTGCATTCCTGGATGTGTTGGGGCACAAGGTAAGGAAAACTGCTGTTTTGTAAATCTACTCAAGTGTATTCGATGTAATCTATACGGTTAATTGTCTATAAGAAATATTTCACAGGCAACAATTTCTGCATGGATTTTAACACATATGTTCAAACTTTTTTCAGAAAAAAATGAGCAAAATCCAGAATACTCCAATCTACAAACATCCGTCCTGGACGTCAGACTATGAAGGGTAAATTTACTCTGACAACTTCCTTGGTTTTCAAATTTGAGGCAGAAAAGTTTATAATACTATTGGCTGTGTTATCTACGACAATCACACCTACACTGGAGAAACTGAAATTGTTTCCTTGCTTAATAACCCTCTGCTAAAAGTTGCAACACGTAAAATACCGCCGTTTTATTCAAATTAGTCGAACGTGCGAGCGGTATCCATACTGATTAAATCATACTTATTGAGACGGACAAAATGTCTCACGAAGAATATCATTTTTACAGACATTTTAAGGCGTAAATTAAATATACTACAGAATAGAAACAGAATAAGTCGTTAAATACCTTTTGGCAAGGGCCATAACGAGATCGTTTGTTTACTTCTTCGTCGTAGAAAACCCACGTGTTCTTAGCCAGGAAAGCAACGTTAAATTTAACTAAAGCAAAACAGTACCAAATCTTGTCCACTAGCATGCAACTAATTATGTACTACAAACATATTGGAGGGATACAAAACATCTACATTGTGCATTTGGCGAGGTTTCGATCACCACACATCTGATGTAGAACGACATTCCGCCATCTTGTTATTTGAATGTAATTTCAAACCCTTGTGAGGTGATGAAAAATAAAGAATAAATTAATATTCATGTTGTATCTGAAATTCAAATGAAGAAAGCTCTTGGTGTGTTTCAGAACGGAACAAGAGGGCATCGGTTATTTGACTTAGCCTTTAGAAGAGGGGAAACGTAAAGCTTGAAATACAAGTCACAAGAACACGGTCCCGTCATAAACAAGATTGCTTTAAATTTCTTCGAATTTGAAAAAATGGCGAAAGGGAATTCTCTCACCTCACATTTAAAAAAATCAAGACGAAAAACTTCTGTAACTGTTTTTTTTCTCTTTACTGAGTGGTTCTGTTCTCCAAGCCTGGGAATTTTGTTGCATATCGTTCAGAACGAATTTCAACCAAAAGTTAAGAGTCTGATAGCTAAGCGATTGCAAACACTTTTGGCAGTTCTGAGAGGTCGTTGTCTTTGATACTGAAAAAGAGATGGAGCCGTCGATGTAAGGAAACGTGACATCACGCTCTATGAATGTTTTCACACTAAGTCGGAGAGAAGACGGAATATGCGGGAGGCCGGAGAGAAGAAGAAAAAAAGGCCAAAGCATTGGAATCGGTTAATGTCTCAAAAAGGTCTTTTTGTGTTATTTTCATACAGGCGAAACTAAATTCCCCTGGCATGGAGTCTACGTCACATTCCTTTGTACCAGCTGGTCTTGCAAGCGAACTAACCATACCAAAGTACAAGAACTGGCTCGCTGTGAGTCATGCCTTAGTAACAGTACTTTCCAAGGGTCTGAGGCCTTATCTCAAACGAGAGATGGATTCTCTGTATGAGCACATACAGAAATTAAACAGTTACGGCTCTTCCTAATGCGGGGCCCTGCCAATGTAAAAAGCTGGGTCATGATTTGAGAAAATGTGCATGGGCATGTGAACTAATTGCTTATCACCGTGGATCAAAACCACACTGGAAACAAAGTGACCCCAGCAAGTGGACGGATCCGAATCTTGGTCCTTGGGAAATTGCTAAGCTGTACATACCTGATTTGGGTCCAGGCTCCATTATAAATGGTGCGGACGACATGGATATTACTGGTATCCTGAACCTCATGTACTGGTGCAAACAATTTACCATTCCACAGCCTCTAATCGACGACGTTCGAAAAGCATGTAATACAAAGTGGGCTCGCGTGCCGAAGCTAGAAATAACAGAGGAAGACAAACAGGCTGTCTTTGATGCTATTGAAAAACTTCTCGGAGATTCTCAATTGGCCCATCACCCTGCCGCTTTAAAGGCCCGACAGGAAATATTTCAATTGGAATAAGTGTCCGACTTACAAACATTTGAAGCTCCAGTATAGAAATGCGACGGAGAGAGATGGTTCAAACATTACGAACGAACTGAAAAATCTAAAAGCGGACTCACAGCACAATGAAGAACTTCGAAGGTAGTTGGGAGAAAGTCTTCGTAACATAAAATCTATGATCTGTATTTAAGAAAAGCCTTCTTTTTTTAACATCGTAGACAGCAATTAATGAACTGTAAACAATATTTTCAGCTTTTCGTANATTGAGATTTAATGAGCCAGTAAATCCTCTCTGGGGGCGCTTACGGAAATTAAAATCTGCGCCAAGCTCATTCACATGTGAAATTTGCTAGAAAAATAAGAAAGTAGAATCGAAGGAAAATCAAATAAGTACAATTTGGTGCCAATGATACCTACATTTTTTCCTATTGGAATGAACACGCCTTTATCGGTTATCTAAATGAACAATGATTATCCAACCTCTGAGAAATGAAGATAGGGGTGATTGTTTCATTACTTTTTTAGCTTTACCCCTCATTTTCTTCTTAGATGGCTTGCTTCTTCTTTGTAATGGGAGAAAGCCTTCTTCTTTTAAAACTCTTCAGCCAGCGGGAGCGCTTTGAGGATTCGGTAAATTGTTTGACGTTACTTTTCTATCCATTAACGGTTGAAAGAACGGTGAACCCTCTTTTACAGCGCTAGGGGGAGCTAAAATCTGCAGCGAGATCAGTCAAATGCGAGATTCGTTAAGACGAAAAAAGCAGAGTCGATTGTTGTGCAAGATGGCCTTTAGCCAGGAATGGGAGACCAATTTCTCGAAGGCGAAAGCTCCTTCAGTAATGTGATTTTTTGCATCCTCCGGATTTTCACGTTCGAACACCACGCTCGAAGTCCCTTTAAAAAAGACGTGGCAGAAAGGCTTGCCTAAGATCGATCTTTGCACCAAATGCCAGCACGCATGCTATGCGTGTACTCAAAATCCAGGATATAAGTTCCTCTTAAATAGATTTTGTGTTAACTGCCGACACGCCGTTTGGTAGGAGATCGTGGTGCCAAGTCTGCTAAGCGCTCCCGAGCGCACTGAACTGTCTTAAAAGATTTGTGCGTGAAAAGGAGAATCAGAACTAATGGGTAAGAAGATGGACCAGAGGCATGTCAATGATGACTCGGTGACGCATGGGTAATTGATGAGCTGTAAACAATATTTTCAGCCTTTTGGACGATTTAACACTTGTAAAAGAGTTCTAATTTTTAATCTGGTTTCGGCGCTTTAATAAAACTTCAGTGCCCAGGCTTAACGCTTCAACTCCGGCGT